TTTCTTTTGAGGAACCTAGGTGTGAGTGTCAGTTTGACTTCTAGGAGCAAGACACCACCATTGCCTGAAGACCAGTATTGAATGGCAATGCTTGTGCTTTGAAGTGGCTGTAAAAGTTGTCAAGAGAGTGATAATAGGAGTAAAATTCAAGATAAGTAAAAACTTAAGAGGGACAAATACATTTAAGAGGGCAAATGTTTTTAGCAAATGACTTTATAAAGGGCTGTTAGGGAGATATGTTGCTAGGAAAGGTGCTGGAATCCCCCTTTTCTGGAAACCACTCAAATAAAGATTATTTCGGAACTATGTACATCTGGTCTGGTCAGACACAGGAGGAAGGATTTGTGATCACTCTGGTTTCAACAGAAGTTTGAGGGAAGGCCTGAGAGGAACCTCTCTATGTGCCTGCGTTGTTTGATCACAAGGGGGCAATGTTCACCCAACAGAGGCCAATGAGGACCCCTCCCTCACCAGCATCCATCTGCCTGTTCTAAGTGTTTTGTTGTATAACAAGGTGAAGAAAACAAATTCAGAGCGATTTGGGGGCAGGGAGAGAGTCAAATGCTATTGGTGAAGTGGTATCCAGAGGAGACAAAGTTCACCTTACCAGCTAGTATGTTTGTTCTCAGCCTGCACGCCTGACTGTATCTGAGTTGAGGAACAGAGAAATCAAGGGACATTAGTTTTAAATTTATTCCTAGGAAGCATGGAAACTTTTGGGGAAGAAGAAACAGATTTTACAAAATGAATGAAATTGGGTACAATCTAGGCCTTTTTGGGATAACCGTGTCCTGGCAAAGGGATAGACAGGGATGGGATCGTGCTAAAGGGGATGGCAGCATTGGCACATATTTCTGAGGTGTTGAGCCCATGGCCTTGACCACCTGTGGCCTGCTGATGTCACATACGCTTCTCCTAGGACCAGCATTGTGGGGGACCTATGATGACTCATGCAGAGAATAGCCAGCAATGTGACCCCACAGTGGAAACAGCACTGGGCTGACAGTGGCCCTGGCTCTGTACCCATGTGACTCTGGACTTCCTTTCTCTGTGCCTCAGTTTACTCTCTGACAGTAGGTGGTTTGGATCTAGTGACTCCTAAGGTCCTATCTATTTCTAAAGGACCGACTGTACGACCTCGACCCGGCAGGCTGCTCACACTTCTGTGCTGCCAGGCCACTGGGCAAAGACCCCCGTCTGGAGCTCCTAGGGTTGATCTAGTTTCCCGTTATCATCTGGGGTTTGGTTAGTGGAACTGGGGGCTTGAAGAAAGGGGTGGCAAAGCGAAAGACAGAGCTGGGATCGTGCTTATGTCCTCCACCTCCTCTGTAATGAGCAGAGAAGTGGACGGCACCACACGGACCTACAGGTAATGTCCAAAAACCTTCTGGAGGAGTCTTCCTCTGCTTGGGTCCCTTTCAAAATAGAAATCAATGAAAAACAATACTGGGGTAATACTCCCTTCTGCCTGCTTTGTCTATTATCCCGTCCCCCTTTGCTAACTACTTTGGCATGAACATATTGGTAAAGCCTGAACAACTACTTCCCGTATCATGCCTTTGCATCACGTGGTAGGCCATGTAATTCAAATAATTTGATCCACGCAATAAAAAGCAGAGGCTTGGTCTATGGGGTGGGTGCAGTTTGACAAGTTGAAAATGTTGTCTCCTTTTTTGTGCTATGAACTGCTAGCAAGGGGTTAATCCTGAACATTTTCATGCCACTCCCAAGGATGCCTTTTCATTAAAAGAACCATTGAAATTCACTTGTTAGACCCTCTCTTCAAAACGAACTCTGTTTTTCAAATGTCAGCTCATGGTATCACCATCAGCATCCAGCCATTTAGCAACAGGTTTTCTTTGGAATTTGTAGCAAGTCTTCAAAGCAAGGTGTTTCCTGCTGATGGTATGTAAGGTGGTAAGGGGTTGCTAATTGTCAGGTTTGACAAGAGAGTGGGGAAGGACTCTCCTGGGACAGCCTTATAAGAAGGGAGAAGGGGACTGCACTGGTTGCAGTAATCATCAGGTGGGGGCTTAATCTGGTGAAAGTCCATGGAAAAAGAGGACGTGCCCCCAGTGTGTGGTTACAGGACAGGGCAATCCATCTTTTAAAAAACAAGAATGCTTTTACAAATTTGCATGAATATAACAGATGGGATTATGAAAATGTCCTTTCTTTACCCAAAGTATGTCTAGTAATGCTTTTATTTCTTATTTCATTTTTTGCATTCTGCAAAGCTCTGGTCTTGATTCCCATGTAAACGAACTTGAAATTATCATAATTTCACCACTCCTACATAATACAAAAAAAAAAAAATCACCCTCCTATGATGGGGAGAAATAGTACAGGTAATCTGAAGTTTTAGCACATTTAATTCAAGAAAGAAAGAAAACAACTTTAAAACATATAGAGGCACAAGTTGAGCAGCCAGCCAGCTACTAAAATGGCAGGTTATATTTCACAGAAAAGCAGACAGACTTGGGCCACTCTGGTTTAATGTGAGCGCATCGGGAGGTTCAATGGATTTATGCATGAAAACAGTTCAGGGATTTGGGTTGGTTTGTATCCACTTGAATTTCTGATTGATGCTGAATAGCAATTCTTTTACCTCATGACTCCTAGACTGCTCCCCGATACAAATAATCTGAGATTTTGAAATTAACTTGGGAGCAGTTCCCCATGTTCAGTTACGTTGGTTACAAAGACTAACTAACTGAACTTGGAAGTTTCACAGTGGAAGTTGACTTACGATGGTCTGATAATTCCTAAACCCATTGCCTGGGTAGTAAGAGTTGTTTAAATTTAACCTTACAGACATATTATCAAACACTAACTCTGTTTAAGGTCCAGAACTGAGTTCCTAACTCATGAATAGCGTTTTGTACCAGGGTTTCCCACTTACTGATTATTTTTTTGTCCCAGATCGAATAAGTTAATCCATATAAAAAGCCCTATAATTGTAAAGCACAAAGCATATGTTAGTAATTACGTTCTTTAATTTTGAAAATCGCTTTAACTGCCGGAAATTTTCTTGGCATTTTATACCTAGTTTACACCTAAATTGCTGGAAGTCATCTGGATCCATTTGATGGAGTTGTGTTTATCAATGCCAATTTCTCTCTCATTTCTTACAAAAACACAAAACAAAACAAACAACTAAAGCCTCATTTTCAGGTCCTTCATCCATACAGTATGAAACACGGACACTGTCTGCTCATTTGGCAACCATTGTACCCTGTCTTGCTTGCCAATAGTAAGACACTCACTTTTATTTCTCTAGAAATAAATGGAGTCTGCATTTCCTGCTCCCATTTCTTCCAAAGGGAAGAAACTAAATATAGACTTTCTATTTCTCCCCAACTTACTGGCAGTTTGTCTTCCCAGGGAAAGCAAAAATTGTTCCTACGCCAGTTCACTACTATTCTGGGTGATTTGTTATCATTTTGCCCAATTACTAAATTAGTATCTAATGAATACTTAAATAACTATCTTCTCGCTCCAATATTTAGATCACATTAAAAAACAATACTGTCCCTAATACATCCCTCTTCCCAAATTCTTGACATTCTGCTCTTTCTTGCTAGTCTATATTATTTTTAAGGCACATATTCAACTAAAAAGACCCCCTTCCTCCCAAAAAAAACCAAAACCCTAAATAATACTTTACACGCCTTCTATTACAAGTGATTCAGGCAAATACAAGGGCAGTTAATGGGATTTCAGAAAAGAGAAAATGATATTGCAAAACAGTCCTCTGGGAAGAGAACCTAATAAGAGGGATTTTGGTCATCTATGCTCAGTGACATCTAACTGCGAAAATGTGTTTGAGAGCATTGTCAGGCAAGCCAGTATTGCTGGCAGATGAGGGTGGTGGTGGGCGAGTGACCTTATTTGAAGGCTTGGATTGGCTGAAGGTATAGCCATCTCTTCAGAAAGCCTCACACTTACTTCCGTGACATCAAGTAGCTTAAGGTGAGGGGGAATGATATTTGCTATTTTAGAAAAAGTCAAAACATTTTATTGAACATGAACAACAGATATCTGGGCAAACAATACACCTTGGATGTGTACACTTTTAATCTTTTGAGATCCTTCTTCCCATTTAAATTTCAAGCAACTTAAAATGAGGATAAATTAAACAAAACTGGAAGACTGTGGGAAAGAGAAATGTGTGTGTTGAGGGAAGCTATACCACTATGATCGAGACGGGGCAAACCAGAGAAAGCTGTGGTCTTGGTAAAATGGCTATTGCGTTGGGTGTGCAAAATTCACAGCATGTTTCCCTACTCGGGAAGAACTACAGGTTTCACTAACTTATACAGATGAAAAATCCCTCCTTAGGGTTGTGTTTACGTTGGAGGAGAGTTTCCAAGGTCCAACAGAAGAAGTTGTGTGATGTGTCTTTTTTATCCTTTAGTTGTTACTGGTAGAGGTCCAGCAGGTTAATAGGTACATTATATGTAACCACGGTTGCCTTTGCTTGGCCTCTCAAAGGAAAAATAAGAAGCCAGCTAAAGGTCACTTGAAGGTCAGTTTTAGCCAAGGGCTTCCTAGGAGATGAAGGAACTGTCCTCTATTTTTGACCTCACTTTGTAGCCTTCTTGGAGTATGTGCTGTGGACTTTGATGAGGAATTGCTACAAAGGGGTGATGGTGTGTATATGTGTGCGTGCACGCACATGTGTTCTTGTGTGTGTGTATGAGGGTGGTGAAGGGCAACCATCTATTCTATCCTTTGAAATTAAAGCATTACTTTCTGAAAATACTGAAATTATTCAGAAGCCAGGCAACATCGATAGGAGACTGTATGGGGCAAAAGAACAGCACTTGGCTATGATTAAACATAACCTCCCTGTGCCACATTTTTCTCATCTAAAATGGGGATAAGAATGGAAACTACTTCATCAAATTGTTGTGAAGATTAGATGATTAGGTTGCATAGAAAGCTTAGATCGGTTCCAGCACCTAGTAATTGCTAACTGTTAGCTATTGTTATTTTATTCTTATTAACCCAGTGATCTGAGCTTGAATTTTAGCCCCTCACTAACCACCTAATGAAACTCTCATTGCCTTGTGTTTCAGCCTCCTCCTCTGTAAAATGGGAGTAAGTCTACTTAATCCATACTTACAGGTTTTTCATTATGAGATGGAAAATGTGAAAAAATATTCTGGAAAAAAATAAAGTGATAGGCAAATGGAATGCATATGTATGTTTTATTCCATTTCTCTGAGACTATTTGAGCAATGCTTAAAACACTCTACATAATGCTCTAGAACTGAAAGCAATACATTGTACCAGGATCTGGCAAAGGAAGCTGCCTCTTAGGGTGAATCGGACAGCATGAAAACCAGCTTCCCAAACAATGAGGGGTATATGAAAAAATTCAAGGAATGGCATAAATCCACATGGCATGGAGAAAGCCTAGTGTTCCACTATCCAAAGCATTATATCCAATGAAAGCATCTAAGACCACAGAGACTGGAGATAAAATCATAGCTGCATCATAAGCAGAGGTGTCAGTTAAAAGGCACACACACATAACACTGTATTCTGAGATGGGGGCGTCTGGTGGGGAGAGGAATACTCTGGCAGCTCATGCAAAACAGAGGCGGTTTCTGATCACAGGAAGCAGTCAAGACAAGGCCTCCGACCTGCAGTCAAGAGGGTTCTTACCTTTTTGACATCCCTGACCAAGTGGTACAGTGTATTTGAGGGCCCATGTCTCTGAAAGCAATAAAGAAGAATGAAATGGTTTTGCTAGTTAGGGGCTCTAGTTGGCAAGGCAAGAAGGTTCTGGAAGGAAGGGTTCTGGTTGGCCGAGGGGCGGTGTATTGAGAAGATGGACCTTGTTCTAGTTGCTCAGTTGTACCTGTTTCTTCTAAACAAACACACCGGCAGATTTTGGGATTAAATTTCCTCAAGAAAAAGCATTTGAGGTGCTAGGTTTAGGCTTCACAAGGAAAGGCCATCATCTCGGTTGATAGCTTGGCCAAGGCATTGTTTAAGGAGTTAGTTTTGCAGCAGGGGGAGGCAAAGGGGCTAATTTACCTCATTGGAAGTACACTTTGGCACATTGCCATTGCAACTTCTTTATTACCCATGATGAATGAGAAATCGTCTAAAGCAGGGGTTGGCCGACGTTTTCCGTAAAAGCTTAGGTAGCAAATATTTTAGCCTGTGCGGGCCATATGGCCTCTGCTGCAACTACTCGACTCTGCCACTGTCGTGTAAAGCAGCCATGGATAATATGTTTAAAAATGAGCCTGGCTGAGTCGGCATCAACTCCACGGCCATGGGTGTGGTTTTCTGTTTAGGTTCCAATAAAACTTTATTTAACAACAAAGATACTTGCAGTTCGTGTAATTTTCACATGCCACAAAATATTCTTCTTCTTTTGATTTGTTTCATCCATAAGGTAATGTGAAAACCATTCTTAGCTAGCAGGCCATACACAAATAGGCAAAGGGCTGGATTTGGCCCCTAGGTGGTAATTTGTCATACCCGATCTAAAGAAAAAGCCACAGGTTGTTTGGGGAAAAGGTGTTTGCTTGCTTGAGGTAAGAATAAAGTGAAATGGGTTTCTAACTTCTTGTGTTTCAGGAGTAGGGTGGCCAGATATAAGATGCCTAGCTAAATCTGAATTTCAGATAAACAATTAATACTTTTTAATATGAGTATCTCCCATGAAATATTTGGGATATACTTATGCTAAAAAATTATTTGTTTATCTGAAATTCAAATTTAACTTGGTGTCCTACATTTTAATTTGCTAAATCTGGCAACTCTATTGGAGGATCTAAAACAGTGACGGCAAATCCTTAAGCAGTGTTAGAGCACGTCTGAGTATTGAGACAATCCCTGAGTACTGTCTCAACTACTTGACCGTTCATGCACACAAGCTCATCAGAATTCTTTTTCTACTGAGGGGATGCAGTATTGTGTAGTCCTTAAGCACACATAATCTGGAGTCAGCCTGTCTGGTTCCAAATCTGGCTCTGCTGCTTACTTGCTCTGACCAGGGGCAAGCTACTTGTGACTTAGTTTTATCATCTCTAAAATGGGTATAATAATACCATTTATTTAATAGGATTGTCATGAAGGTTAAATGATAAAATGTATACAAAGCTATTAAAATGGTGCTTCCAAACTCACTTGCCATTGAATCATTTTTGACTCATAGTGACCCTATAGGACAGAGCAAAACTTCCCCATAGGGTTTCTAAGGCTGTAAATTTTTATGGAAGCAGACTGCCACATCTTTCTCCCATGGAGCAGCTGGTGGGTTCAAACTGCCAACCTTTCGATTAGCAGCAGAGCGCTTTAACCACTGTACCACAGGGCTCCTCAAACAGTGTTTAGCACTCAATAAATGCTAGCTATGATTATTGCCGCTAGGGCCATTCACACTCCCATAATCCTTCTCAACAGAGTACTCTAGAAAACTACTGTCAGTTCATTGGGGTGATGAAATCTATTGGCCTTTCTCAATCTAAAACTTCCTACTTCCTTTTTTTCCCCAGTCATTGCAGTAAATCACTCTATTTCCTTGATTGATATGTAAACATTCAACGTTCAACTCTGTGGCTTTTTTTTTTTTTTTTTTTGGAAAACCCCATTATTCTTACTCCAAGTCTCAGTATGCTGAGCCAAGAAAAATCTGGGGTGTAAACAGAAACCTGAGGCTACCCTGCTAACCTGTTTTCTACTTCCTGAGGGGGAATGAAATAGAAGCTATGTGGTACCCTCTGATGCCATCCTTCTGGTCTACCAAAGGCTGGGGACAGGTCAGTAAGCCCCATCCCATTTGTGCTCTGGTGGTGGGACAGAGGAGCATTGTAACAAAGGAGGGGAAGAATGATCTCCGAGACAGAAGCTTGGGCTTAGTGCCGGCTTCTTTCTTTACTTAGGAGTTTAATAACCTTAAATAAACAATTCACTTCGTGGCCTCAGTTCCCTCATCGTGAAATGGGAGAGAACCATCTTTTCTCTTTTAACTTCATTCGATTTTAGCGAGGATTAGCTCAGAACCAATGCACTTAGCTTGTTGAATGGTCTGAAAAACTTCATAAAGGGTAGTTTTTCTTATGATTAGCACCTGGTGCCCCTAGTGAATGAATTAATAAGGCATTGCAAAATAAACACAAACAAAATATACAATATATATATAACCTCAACTAGGAGGTATTTTACATTTCATTCCATTATAGTGAAAAAGGAATGACGTTCACAGCTCTGAGGATAATAAATTGGAGTGAGATACTTAATCAGCCCCCTTTGATGCTTAGAGTTAAATCAGTCCTCCTGCTGATTGCCTTCAATACCCTGTGGGCTTGCGGAATAAAATGTATTCTAATCCAGAGCCTCGTGGCTTTGTGTAAAAATCTGAGAATGTTTCCCTTAGGTGGTCATACAACTTTTTGCCTTAGATGGTTGACAATTGAGCAGTTAAAACAAGTGGGATCCCATGACTTGGTGTTGGTTGGCTACACAGGCCTAGGGAAGTGTTTGTGCAGAAGGAGCCATGCAATTGGAGGACAGGGTCACAGGCAGGTAGGAGGTAGGAGAAGGCAAAACAAGAAACACAGAGAAAAGTGCCTTAGCTTGGCCCTACCGTATTGTACAATTCCTCTAGTCTGGAGATGGTGAGAAAACGGTGCATGCTTACTCCGTTCTCTATGAGTAATTTCACAAAATCCACTCTGTCCAGCACTAGGGCATCCAACATGGCTTGCTCCAGAGACCCCACCTGCAAATCAAGTCACTGAGTTAGTCTGCTCCACGGGGTAGGGGTGCAGTTCTTTGGGGTTCACTTGGACAACTTAGAAATGGATGCCCCTGACATCTGGTAAACCCTCAGCACATCTAGGAATATGCTAGCCAGACTGTGCCTAGCTCCACTTTTGGGATAGCCATACCCTTTACTATGACTGGAGCCCTGTCTTTGCAAATAGAAGCTAAAGGTTTCTAGTTCCAAAAGCTATTCCCTCCCTGAATCTCTTTCCTGGGTTCTGAAAAGGCGAAAGGGCTTGAAGGGTGTTTCCCTTCCAACTCTTTGACCAAACTTCTGTAACACCAGTGAATGTCAAAGTGGGCACTTTACTGTCTTCGCTTCCATCCTCCTTAGGCTGATATCACTAGGCTGACTCGAGAGGAGCAACCCAGATAAACAGATCAAAGGACCTAAAAGAGATGCTGGGTCTCCTTATAGGAACGGGCAAGACGGAGGCAAGGTGGTGCCACTTAACTATAAAAAGAACAGCTTATCTTCTGGATCTGTCACTGACTAGTATTTTTATTTAATTTCTTCCTCATAAATTTCTCAGTGCCTCCTTGACAAATTAGCATTAGCAATCTGCAAGCGCTAAATGAAGGCAAATGCTGAATTCCAGGCAGAAGTTCTCCAGGGGAAAAGGGTTAAAAAAAACCAGCACATGACCAGTGATGTCCTTCAGTGATTCCAGGCACAGGAATCTAATTTCAGGCTGCCTGGCTGTCTCCTGGGGATGCATGCATACACCACCCCATGGCCAATTTTCCAAGTTTTTATTTTTGGTAGAGTCAATTGAGGGAAACAAACCAAGAACAGTTATATAAAGCTTCAGTTCACTCTGTGCTGTACTTTGGGAACAGGGAGGACCTGTGCTCAGCCACCAGGACCATATGGCACCTGCACGCGGAAGCCTGATAAATCTGCCCTCCTGAGATGTGACCCAGCCATAAACCACCACGGGGTGGCACCACGTGGAAGCAGCAACCTCTTTTGTCCCCCTCAACAGACCACCACAAACAACCGATAACTCCACTGCTTCCTTAATTTTAATTAACGCAGCCTTTTTTTAAATAGTTTTTTTGGTCATATTAAAATAAATGGCATAATTTGTAGCAGAAAATTGATATTAAAGACCAATGACAGAAACGTTTGGAACGTTTGGAGTTGTGCTTAGTCGTAACTTCCGCTAGGTGGCAGTATTTTCCTAAAGATGAGAAAGGGAGCCCAGGCCCGCGCATGCGCTTCAAAGGGACATTTCCATCTTCAAGAAAAGGCAGTGGTTTCCTGAACCTCTCTTAGAGGCTCCCTAAATAAATACCCTTGCCCAGGCAAGCGGGCTTTTCAGAGGGGACGACATATACTCTACCGGCCACTGTTGCCCATAAATAAAGATCTGGCTGCGAGCGATGTCAACTCTGTTCCAGGCTAAAGCTAAGCTCAGTTGGTCTGGGGCCGAGGCATTGGCTCCTGTGTGTAGACATTGGGAGAGAGAAAACATTGATTAGTTGTTATACCGAGAAGATCCACTTGCCACTCTCCCATTGACCCCTTTTTCCTGAGGCGCAAACCTGGCCCGACAGCAGGGTTTCACAAACTTGGCATTGAGATTTTGAGGCAGGATATTGACGATATTGACATTTTGGGCAGGATATATTTTTTGTGTGTGTGTCTGGTAGGGGACTGTTCCCCTCATTGTACAATTTTTAGCAGCATCACTGGCCTCTACCCACTAGATGCCAGTAGCACCCTCTCCACTCTCAATAGTGACAATCAAAAATGTCTCCAGATATTGCCAAACGTCCCGGGGCCCCGGGGGCGGGCAAAATCAGCCCTGCTGGGACCCACTGCTCTCCAGCCTTGCTGTTCAAAGGGTGATTCCAGTTCGCCAGCATCAGCATCATCCGGCACGTGTTAGAAACGCAGAGCCTCAGGCCCCACCCTGAATCAGAATTTCTATTTTAACAAGATCCCAGATGATTCCTGCGCAGGTTAAACTTTGAGAAGTCCTGGTCTACAACAGGCGTTCCTGGGTGGTGCAAATGATGAACACACTCAGCTGCTAACTGAAAGGTTGGAGGTTTGAGTCTACCCAGAGGTGCCTCAGAAGAAAGGCCTGGCAATCTATGAAAAATCAGCCACTGAAAACCCTAAACTAAGCACAGTTTTACTGGGACACACGTGGGGTCATGGTTTACACGTTGCCTGGTCTACAGCACTTCTCCCTCCCCCCCTTCTCCGCTGGCCAATCACTAATTTAATTGCATGGTGATGGTGCCCTCATCAATTAGTGGGCCAGCCTTGCCACTCTGTTGAACGAAAGCTAAGAAGATCTGTGTGAGGAAGGCACACGGTTTCGCTTTAGTGTGCAGTCTCTTAAGATTTGCACGGCACTGCCCAATATGGAGCCACCAGCCACTTGTGGCTATTTAGATTCCAATTAATTAAAATTAAATAAAATCGAAACTTCAATTTCTTCGCTGAACTTGCCACACTTCAAGTGCTCAATAGCCACGTGTGCCTAGTGGCTACTGAATTGGATAGTGCATTTGCGGAACATTTCTATCATCATAGAAAGTTCTGTTGGGCAGTGGTGGTTTAAATCAATGCATCCTGTCCATAAATTAAAAACAAAAAAAAGCCAAACCCATTGTCGTCGAGTCAATTCCGACTCACAATGACCCTATAGGACAGAGTAAAACTGCCCCATAGAGTCTCCAAGGAGCGCCTGGTGGATTTGAACTGCTGATCTTTTGGTTAGCGGCTGATCTTTTAGAAGTAGGCATCAATATTTCAAAAATATCTCTAGGTGTTTACAACTTTGGGAACCACTGCGCTGTCTCTGGGCTTTGAGATATTGATGTAAAGAATTAGGCAAACAAGATGTTTCCTAGTAAGTAGTAGCCCAAGAGACAGAAAGGGCCACATAAACCAGAGACTTCATCACCCTGAGACCAGAAGAACTAGATGGTGCCTGGCTGCCACCAATGACCGCCCTGACAGGAAACACAACAGAGAGTCCCTGATGGAGCAGGAGAAAGGTGGAGTGCAGAACTCAAATTCTAGTAAGAAGACCAGACTTAATGGTCTGACTGAGACTGGAGGGACCCTGGAAAGCATGGCCCCTGGATTCTCTATCAGCCCAGAACTAAAACAATTTCCAAGGCCAACTCTTCAGACAGGGATTGGACTGGACTGTGGGACATAAAGTGACACTCGTGAGGAGTGTGCCTCTTAGCTCAAGTAGATACAAGAGACTAGACAGGCAGCTTCTGTCCGGAGGTGAGATGGGAAGGCAGAGAGGGTTAGGAGCTGGTTGAATGGACATGGAGAATCAGGGGTGGAAAGGAGGAGTGTGCTGTCACAGTATGGGGAGAGCAATTAGAGTCACATAACAATGTATGTATAAATTTTTGTATGGGGGAAAAAAAAAAGATGTTTCCTAGGGCACTTCTCAAATTCCAGCTTGCCTAAGAATAACCTGAAGATCCTTTAAAACTACATATTCCTGGGCCCTATCTCTAGAGATTCTGATTCAGCAGGTCTTGGGTGGGGTGTGAGTTTCTGCATTTCTAACAAGTTCCCAGATGCTGCCAATGCTGCTGATCCGAGGACCAGAGTTTGAGCAGCCAGACCCCGGGAGGGCTGTGATGCTGTGTTCCTTCACATGTCTCTCAGGGGATTCTGATTCTGTGGCCACATGTTGATGGGTTTAGTGTAAACCTTGTGCTTACAGTAAATTGATTAGTGTTTGGAATGATGACTACTAATTCCATTTCTGCAGGGAACTTTCCATCAAGGAAATGATTTCTTATCCCCTCCGATAACAACAGGGACTGCAGACTTATAGCAGGGTAACTGGCATAAATGAGGGATAAATAGGAATGGTGCCAAAACGGAATGTCATCAATTTGAAGGAGGGGAGAAAAAAAAAAAAAAAAAGTGAAGGCTCCCTGAGATTGCATTTGAGGAGGTAACACCTTACAATTTCCTTTGCTTCTTTAGTTCGTCTGTTGGTCATTGCTGACCTGCAGGAATGGTTTAATCATTCCTTTTTATCATTTGTATGCTACCAGTTTGTATGTCACCCAAGTCAATAACAGCAGCACAAATCTGAACAAGAACGCATAGCAGGAAGGAGTCACTGAGGCCAACGGGAGCCATAGGCCTGAATGTAATTAGGAAAGTGTCAGATGAAAACAAGAAGCCAATGAGTCTTGACTTCTCAAAAATTGAAAATGCACCACATGAGAATGGTCCAGGTGACAGTTTGGATTAGTGGTTCTCCGCCAGGGTGAGCAACCATCTCAGTTTGCCTGAGACTCCGTTTTAGCACTGAACATCCTGCATCTCAAGAAAACCCTCAGATCTGAGCACACCTGGATTGTTGGTCACCTTATTTCAACCGTGGCTGTGGACGGAAATTGCCTGGGGAACTCTAAATATACTCGTGCCTGGGCCCCACCCACAGACAATCTGGTTCAATGGATCCTGGGCGCTGAAGTTTTGAAAAGCTCCCCAGGTAATTCTAATACGAAGCCAAAGTTAATAACCCCTAGTCTAGATATATATGTATATACATTCATTCATTCATTCATTCATTTATACATTCAAAGATATTGATTTCATGCCTACTCACATGCCAGGCACTATGTCAGTAAGAAGCTCCCTGTGTGGCACAAATGGCTTGTACTCGACTACTAACTTAAAGGTTGGCAGTTCGAACCCACCCAGCAGTGCCACGGAAGAAAGGCACGGTGACCTCTTCCATAAAGATCCCACCCAAGAAAACCCTATGATGCAGTTCTACTCTGTAATACAGGGGGTCAACATGAGTTGGAATTGAGGAGGCCACTATTTTATTTTTAATGCCAGTATGATGACCAAGAAGAATAAGACAGAATCCATCATCCAGAGAGCTTAGAGTCGAGAGGAGAGAAGCTTGTGACTAACTACTGTTTCCTTCAACAATTCATTTATCTGTTCCACAAATATTTACTGAATACTTCTGTGCCAGCCACTGTTTATGCACTGGGTGTCCAATGCTGAACAAAATAGCTAAGGTTTCCTTTCACACAGAATTTACATTCTATGAGAGAGGGGTGGGGGGAGCGGAGCAGAAAACAAACTAAAAGCATGGGAAAGCCACTGCAGGATTTTGTCTCAGAAACAATGCAGTCAGATTTGGGTCTTAGAAAAATCACCTTGGCAGCTGTATGGAGGATGGACCGGATGGGCATGGACTGGAGGGGGAGGAGGAGCAGTTAGAAAGCTTTTGCAATATTCTAGAAAAGGGATAATGAGGACCTGAAGGAGAGCTAAGAATGATTGATATTTAGAGGGCAAAACTGAAAGCTTTGAGTGACAGATTCCAAATGGGGAGCAAAGGGAGAAGAGAAGTCAATATTGATGCCCTAGACTTTAGCTTGGGCTGAGCGCAGGGACAGGATGGCCAGCTGAGATTGGATATGCAAGATAAAAACAAACTTTTGGGGGCAGCAAAATTTCATTTTCTAATATATTGAGCTTGAGGTGCCAATTGCCAGAAGCTATTAGATGTTTGGAATCTCTGGGTGTGCAAACCGTTAAGTGCTCAGCTACTAAGTGAAAGATTGGTGGTTCAAATTCACCCAGAAGTGCCTCAGAAGAAAGGCCTGGTGATCAACTTCTGAAAATTCAGCCATTGAAAACCCTATGGAGCACAGTTCTACTCTGAAACACACGGGGTTGCCATGAGTCAGAATCAACTTATGGCAACTGGTTTGGTTTTTTGGTAGATATTCCGGTCTAGAGAAGAGGAGGAATCAGGCCTGAAGACAGAGATTCAAGAAACATAGCCATGAAGGTAGCATCACCACTAATTTATGAGACAAGAAGAGGGCAGAGGGTGGGTAATTGGATGTCAGCAATATTTAAAGGGTATGACAAGTAAAACAAATCTTTAGAAAGAGACCACAAAGAATAGTCAGACAGGTAGGAACAGAACCCGGAGGGCGTGGTGCCCGAAACTGGGGGAAGAGAGATTTTCAAGGAGGAGGACGTGGCCAAGAGGCAAAAGCTGCAGAGAAGGCAAGCCGGGGGAAAAAAAACTGACCTTCCTCTTCATAATTCTTCTCATCACCTGGCCCCAGCTTACGCATCTAGTGGTTTATTGCTATTTTTATTTTCCTTTGCCAAAATGTAAGCCTCATGAGACGAGAGATTTAGTCTGCTTTGTTCACTGTTGTATTCTCAGAGTTCAGAACAGTGCTTGGACGTAACAGGTGCTCAATAAATATTAGCTGAATGAATGAAGGAACTGAACAGTGTGCGCTGGGTTTGGCAATAGAGAAGTACTGTATTCAATGATGGGGCCTTGGTGACACAGTGATTAAGTGTCTGGCTGCTAACCAAAAGGACAGCAGTTTGAATCCAGAAGCCTCTCCTTGGAAACCCTATGCGGCATTTCTACTCTGTCCTATAAGGTCGCT